AAAAAAAAATTTTTTTTTAATTAAATCATAGCAGTATATATTGATAATTAATTAATATATATTACGAAGGTTTTCATGATGAGTTAAGGTCTGCACAGTGAGCATAGCGTGGGGTACAGTGTACTGTTTCTGTATACAATTTGAAATATGTTCATCCAACTGGTTAACATAGCCTTCATGTCTTTTTCTTAGTTATTGTGTTAAGACATTTATATTCTACATGTACCCTTATAGGATGAACCATAGGTGTGATCCCACCAATCTCCCTCCCTCCACCACCCTCCCGCCTTTCCTTTTCTGAATGGTGCTGTTTCTCTTCTGCTTTGGGCTTTCTGCATGTGTCTCACTTATCCCCCATTCTCTTCCCAGTCTCCCCTTTACCCCAATAATCAGGTCCAGATTTCTCTGTACTCAGAAGAGCTCTTTGGCTGGAGTAGGCAGGGATATACCCCATATCTTCCCCCATTCTTCAAGGTGTGTGAGAGGAGTAGCCCACTTTGTTGGGAGTAAGTAGAGGGGAGAGAGCCTGTTAGGAACTGAAAAGGGGTCCAAGATCACCTTCTTGAGCTGAGTGGAATTCAGTATGCTCTGAGAGGTACAATTGGAGTCTCCAGCTGCCCCTATTAGTTCTAGTGAGCCCAGGCTGTCCCATCATTGCCTAACCCATGGGTGACACATCTCCAGATGAAGGCAGGTGAAAGAACTTATAAGAGGATTGCACATTGGGGCATTCATGGCCCCAGGCTAGGGGTGAAAACATGGAGAGATACCCATTGAAGGGACACTGAGGTACTTTGGGCAGAAACTGAACAAGGAAAATGTTGGTTGGTTGGGGCTCCCCCAACTGCCTCACACATTCCAATCTTGGTTCACCTTCCCAGGTGTGCAGAGAGCAGAGCCTGCTTCCTGGGCCCTAGGCCCCTCCCACAATGCCTGTCGCTGGTCTCCTCCTCTGGGCTTCCCTACTGACTGGGGCCTGGCCAGCCACCCCTACCCAGGACCTCCTCATGGCCATGCCTCGCGTCCGGCTCTCATTCAAAGGTAAGAGGTTTCCCCTTTCTTTTTTGAGATAGAGTCACTTTATCATCATTGGTAGAGTGTTGTGGCATCACAGCTCACAGCAACCTCCAACTCCTGGGCTTAGGTGATTCTCTTGCCTCAGCCTCTTGAGTAGCTGGGACTACAGGCACCCACCAGAACACCCAGCTATTTTTTTTGTTGTTGCAGTTTGGCCTGGGCTGGGTTCGAACCTGCCACGCTCGGAATATGGGGCCGGCACCCTACCCACTGAGCCACAGGTGCTGCCAGAGGCTTCCCCTTTCTTCTCTAGAAGTCATCCTTTTGTCACAGCACTTGCTCCACTGCACAAGAGAGGAGAGAGAGGTCTGGGTAAAAAGAGGACAAATTGTATAGTCAAATGTAATGCCCTGGGCGTGTAGGGGGGAAGTAGGGGACTGAGGAGGTGAGGACTTGCTGGACCACGTAGACATTTTGCCAAGGGATCCTAGTCTGGACATTTTCCAGCATCAGGTTATAGGTTCCTGAGCTGGGTAGCCGAGGGTCTGGAGGGCTTCTCTCTCTATGCAATAAGTGGGGAGATGGGAGTATTACTCTTTCCAGATTTCAGTTTACTGAGGCACTTCCTTGCCACTGCTATTGTCTGGGCCTGCCCTGAGCAGTCCCCTGGGGTGGAGGGTCAGACAATTGAGCAGACACTGAGGCCTCAGGAAGCTGGAGGAATAGGACCTACTCTGCTGGGGTGTGGGTGCTTGAGGAGCCTTTCCATGAGTCTCTAGGTAGGAGGGGTTCCCAGGAATCTTAGAGGGTGCTGTCAGTTGCAACTGGCAGGGAGACTACCTGTGGGTTCATGCAGAGCATATGTATGCTATTGTGAGGACCTGTGCTATTCTGAGATCCCAGTGAGCACTTTGCCTGCAAGGTCACTGGAAGGTTTTCATGATGAGTTAAGGTCTGCACAGTGAGCAGCTGGTCCCCAGCCCCATCGCCTTTGCAGCTAACCCACTGGGCAAGTGAACACACATGTCCACATAGCTAGGAGTACTGATGGCTCTCTGGCCACTTCCTCAAGGGTGTGTGTGGTTGGGAGAGTCTACCCTGGGCCTACAGTAAGGGGTAGTGGCCATGCTAGGGCCTGGGGACCTGAAGTCATTGTGAGTTCTCAGCCTTGGCCCTCCTCTGGCCAGAGGTAACTTCATCCAGCCCCTGCCTTGGGTGGGGCTAACTCACCCCTAGCTAGATTTCCAGGCAGCCATATTGGGGTGGAAGCCTGGGCTGACCTTTTCTTCCTCAGGCTTGGCTAAGGCCCAGCCCCCACCTTACCATATCCCCCTGTAAGGCCCCTCCCCGACCTCATCCCACCCCTACAACTTAATGGGAGGAGTGGAAGGTAAGCTGCTTATCATCAGCTCTTCCCAGTCACTGACTTCTGGAATTTTTGAGGATGTGCCTGGAAGGAGGCCTAGCAGAGCCTGAGAAATGGGCAAAGAAGAGTTAATCGGTTTAAGTTAGAAAACTACCACCCTTTCCCAGGCTTCGGAAGGTGAGATATTTATTCTACTGATACCTTCACCCTTCCCTGGTGAAATTCCTCACAGCAGATTAATAAATCTTAAAAGGGCTAGACCTCTCCCCACCCCCCTTCCTGGCCTAGGGTCCTGGACAAGGGGGTGAAGTATCTCCTCTCCCCACTGAGGAAGGAAGGGTGGCTTGGTCTCTACCATCCTGGGACCTTATGTCTACTCTGGGTATTGATTTTGTCATAATGCATGCAAGGAAGCAAGAGGGATGACACATAGGGAGGTCCTCTGTATGCTCCTTTAAACCTCATCAGACTTTCAGGGCAAAGGGGCAAAGCCTTCTGTTCCTGTTTTCCAGAGAGGGAAACTGAGGTTCAGACAAGGGGAGGGCCAAGGTCAGCCAAGAGGCAGAGATGAGGCCAGAAATAGAACCCTGGTGTCCTGGCCTTGCTGGCGCCCACATTGTGCCGGGTCGATTCCCTCTCAATTAGCTCTGAAGCCCACACCCGCAGTGACTAAAAGCTAAACTTGTGGCAGCCTGGCAGAGAGCCTGTGGAGCTGCCTGCTGTGGTGGTCTGGGGCAGCTGTAGCATACCTGGGGCCACTGTATCCTAGGGCCTCTGTGCCTTTACACAGACAGGTTCCCCTGCCCTGAATAACCTTCCCTGTTCCAGCCTGGCCTTGTATCCTAATTTTATGCTTAGATGATACTTTAGCATAAAAGATACTTGAGCATGTACTATGCGCTATGCCCTGTGCTGAGTACTAGGGACTATGCAATGAACAAGATGGGATGTTCATAATCAAACTGGCAAAAGTAATGGACACATGGGTGGTCAGTGCACCTGGGAGCCCAGTATTTGCTATGCACTAGGTCCTGTGCATTCCCCATGCTGGATGATCTCAGCCTGGTCATGTACACATCAGGTACCCTCAGTGAAGAGTAGCCCTCACCAAGAGTTTGTGGAGAGAGAATGGAGACCAATACCTAGAGAAATGGGGGTCCTATAGCTATGCCAGAGACTGGAAAGAGGGTTGTCCTTCCTACTAGGGTATATATGAGGGCAGAGGGGGGTCTCTCAGAAGCACTGTGGGTCACTCTGGTTTCATGTTGCAGTTTCTTCACCTGGGCCTTGGATGGACACCATATTTGGTACCCCAGGCTAGGGATCTCCTGCCCTGCCCTGGGTCCTGCTGCAGCTGGGAGTTGCCAGTTCCAGCTTGGATAGGGTTAGACCCTCCAAGCTGGAAGTGCTGGCATGAGGGGCCACACTGCCCAGGGCAGATAAAGGAAAAAAGGCAGGAACTGGACCAGAATTGGGTCGCTGCCTACCCATCCACCCAGGCACCCCAGCCAGCTCTTGAGCCAGGAGGGTATGAAGGTGAAGGGGCCAAGGGTTCAGTCAAATTTGGAGGGCTTCTGTGGCTCAGCTTCTGACTCCTATCAGCGGCACAGCCAAGATCATGCAGAAATGAGGGGTCACATGGGGAAGATTTCCAAGAGCAGATGAGATATTCTTTGATTCCTGGCTCTTGAGAGCTCAAAGATCCCTGGGCTGGAAAGCCTAGACAGTGGGACCCTCTTTTCTCCACCATCCATGCCTGGGCCTGGAGTTCCCTTTACCTCAGAGTCCCTGGCCAAGTCTCAGATAAAAAGCTTTTCCTCTCCCCACCCTGAGATTACCCAGGCTGTGGGGCACCACCTCTCTCTCGGGCAGTAGCAGGGGAGTTGCCAGGGCCCTGCCAGGTCCTTTGTTCAGCCTGGGGTGTGTTTACTTTTTCCCAGGAAGCTACCCTCCAACACACTGCTGCTGCCTGGGCTGGCTTTGTCTAGGTCTTGGCCAAGAGATGTTTGGTGGGAGAGAGGGGTCTTGTGATGACATAAGGTGGCTGTGCTACTGGGGAAACTGAGACAGAAATAGGGAAAAGAAATTCTTCTTGCCAGGGGAGGTCAGGAAAGATGAAATAACAGAAATAAGAATAGGTAATTATGGTGATAACAAAGCAGTGGTCCCTCCAAAGACTAAGTTTCCTGTGAGGAAGGAGGCTAGTGGCTTTCCAAGTCACTTAGGAACAGGACTGACATTGACCCTGGCTCTGCCTAATACCTGATCCTGTCCTAGGACTGAATGTGGAGGGCAGGGGTGGTAGTGGTGCTATAGACACAGCCCCCTCCCATGAGCTAGGGATAGACTTCCAGGATGCTGCCACACTGTCTTCAGCTTCTCTAGCCTTGTTTCCCAAAGAAAGGGTCAGGGTTCCACTGAGGAGATTCTTCATGCCCTCTGCCTGCTAAAGTTAAGACTTTGGGTTTGTTTACTTCCAGGCTATCAATTCAAGCGCTCCCCTGAGCAAGATTTTCTAGGAGGCCCTCTCATGTCAGAGATGGGAAAGCCAGGGCCCAAGAGAGGAAAGGGCTCTGATGTCCAGAGCAGCCCTGATGTTTGGGCCCTCTCTAACCCCAGGAATAACTGGCTTACTCAGTGAGGAAGGATGATCTGCAGGTGAAGTATGAACAGATGGATACTAGTAACTGTACACCCACCTCTGTTGGCCTGCTTCTGGGGCTAATGGTTCAGAACAATGCCACCACTCATGTTATTTGCATGTAGCACTAGAGGACCAAAGTTACTGGGTCTCCTTGTTTACAAATGAAGAGCTTATAGGCCCTTTACTTTGCCCTTGGGTAGTGGTGAACATTGGTGGGGGTGGAAGTGCCTTCAGGCCCCCAGGCATGACTATGGGCTGGAAAGCTAGAGGATCTGCTCTTGCCCCCTAGGGCAGTGGTTCTCAACCTTCCTAATGCCATAAACCTTTAATACAGTCTAAAGGGGTCATGACCCACAGGTTGAGAACCACTGCCCTAGGGGCTCCCTGGCCAATCAAAGCAAGGCGTGGGCTTTGAGATTGCAGAAGAGTTGGAGAGGAGTTGGAGGGAGATGGGTGGAGATTCAGGAGATTTGAGGCAAGGGGTGTTACCAGGGAGCTGGGGAGAGGTCATATGACTTTGACAGCCATAGTGGGATTTGGAGCTAGCAAGTCAGGGAAGGATAGATGTTCTAGGATGAGCCAGGATCATGAAGAAGGAAAACCCAAAGTATGAAATGAGTCCAGATCCCTACATTAGGGATCTCAGTTTTCCTGGAAATGGGAGCTGCCTTACTCCTGAGAAGGGACTTGGAAGTGGCTAATTAGGGAGTTGGGAGGTCCTAAGGGCTGTCTGTCCCTTAGCTGGCCAGGAATTAGCTTTTGGAGAGAGTAGAGATAGAGTCCTTGTGCTTACCTGAGAACCTGCCTAAGACCCAGCCTAAGTCAGCAAGACCATGGTCTGGGCCTTCTGCTGTGGCCCTTCCAGGTCCAGCTAAGATTTGGATGGGACTGCCACTGGTTGGGCCTCTGCAGCACAGGCCTTGTCTCTGGTTCCCTGGCATAATGCCTGCCCCTCCTCCTTTGGATCCAGCTTCCCTTGGCACTAAGCAAGGAACTGGTGCATGCTCAAGGAGT